CCCAGCGCCCACAGCTCCCCAGGGAAGCACAATTGACTACACTTTGGGGTTCGCCCTCAGGGGCCCAGGTTCACAGAGGAGGGAGGGGTCACTACAAGGTCTTTGTTGCTAGGGAACCCCCAGTTCAATGAGTTAGGCAGTAAGTCTTGACTAGTTATCTTTATTAAACCACACATCTGTCCCGTCCCCACCGGGCACAGAGCTCAGCTGTCGGTGCCCAGATGGTAACAACTTGGTGCAGCTCCTAAGGACCGTGGTCCACTGGGGTGATCTTGGAGTGTGTGAAACCGTGGTTAAAAGTCATTTCAAATATTGCCATTCTAAGTGGGCTTTTACTTTTTAAAAGCAAGGCAGTATTTTCTATTGTGGTTGAAAATGAGTCATGTGAACTCCCAGAAATGTCTCCTAATTTTTTTCGTCACTAGCTTTTATATAGTCAGCAAATAGGTTTGTCAGTTTTCCTTTAGATGTGTTGTTTTTCACATGTTCGTATTTCAAATATTTTCCGAACAGTTTTCATCACTTGTTCTGTGGGCATCATGTCTCTCTTCTGGAGTGAGGCGTGGAGCTGTTAGCAAGTGTCACCTCTCCCTCGGCTCCATCCTGTTCTGCAGGAATTCTCTGTAAAGACCTGCTGTCTCGTTGAAGTTGTCAACACACTTTCTTTGGGCTATCACATTCCACTTTGCTCTCCTTATCTTTTTCCCACCCTTTATTAATATGTTCAGCATGTTTTTGTAAAATGTCCCATTGTTAACTTTTTAAAAATGTAAATTATTAGTCTCATTTTTTTAAAAAGAAAAATTTAACCTCATCTTATTTCCTCAAAGGCATTAGGAAACATATTCTTGGCTTTGAGGCCATATGAGGTAACACACATTTTAGCTGATAATTGGCATCCTATATCAAAACCGGTAGAATATCCACACTTAACAACTTGTCTGAAGGAGAAATTTGCCAGAACTATCACCATGTGGGGTCCACTTGTGCCTGTCAGAGCCAGGTGCATACTAGATACAAGATAATTTTTGTTAAGTAAATGCTTTATAGTTTTCTATGTCATGTGGACTATATTTTTAAATAGATCATTTAAAATTTCCCAGATGAGCCATGTTTTCCTTAAATTAGGATTGTGGTATATTGTGAAAATAGGAAAAAGTTTAATCCGGAATGCGTTTGATTAGTTATCTGTTAGTTATCTATGGCAGTTTTGACTAGGTTAAGGTGATGCTATAACGTTTTTGGGTGGAGAAGAAAACTGACCACATTACTCCTATAGGTCGTTATGGTCTGTTTATGTCCTTGTCCTGTTTATGTCATTCTTTATTTGTCTTCTGATGATGCGCATGGCACGTACCTAGACAAATAGTACCTTGGGATCTCAGCCACCTCGTGGCATATGAGCACACCACATGTTTACTGAGAAACCGGAACATCCATTGAGAAAATGAGCAAAAGCCACAGTGTGGTTTCCTCTGTAAAGCCGGGCACCCCAGGGATGTGCTTCCAGGACAGTAAGGAGTAAGAGTGGTGCTAAGGAGGCCAGCAGAGATGAGTCCTTAGGGAACCTGGCCCAAGAAGTGCTCTGTTAACAAGCGTTCAAACCTAAATGTTCAAACCATCATTTCAACGACAGTAAAAGCAACAGACATTGCCCTTCTCCCGTGCCCAGTGTGAAGACAGCCTGCATGGTGTGTGAGTCGTGAGTGCAGAAGCATTTAGGCTGCTCAGTGGCAAATGCTTTACTTCAGATTGGTTTTAAATATTTTCTTCCTTTTCAACCCATAACTCAGCTTTGCTGTAAGTGGAGCTTAGGTTATTGGGGGTTGGGGCTGGAGGCAGGATTTGAAGAGCTACCCTCACTTTTTAAGGCAAAGAAGTGATTCCAAAATAATAATTAAAATGACAACAATAATAATAAATTTTATTTACATACAGGTAGAGGCAGAACGGGCAGCCTCTACCTGTGTGTTGGGAATGGTCTTCCTTAAGCCCAGTCCCTAGCAGTTGCTCTGTTCCACAAAATGTGGTTTAATAACACCTAAGCACAAAAAAATAATAATAATAAACCTTACTAGTAATCAAAGAAATGCAAGTGAAAACCAGTGAGATGCTATTTTCATTTATCTAATTAGGAAAAAAATCACTTGTAACCCCAGGAATGGGAAAGGTTCAGCTGGCCAGCTCCCCTCCGCGCTGTGGGTGGGAGGGGAGCTTGGGATGGTTGAGCGAAGGTCGAAGGTCAGGTGTGACAACATGGATAACATAATGCCCTTGATGGGCTGATTCCTTTCTAAGCATTGATTCTAAATAGCCCAAGGCATGCTTAGTGTTTGCGGACAATAGTGTTTCTCACAGTGTTTTAGAATATAATCTCCACAGACGTCCACCAATGTTACAGCAATTAAATAGGTCATGTGCATTTGATAGAGTGTTGCTCGTGTGTTCGAAGGTGCACTGGAGGAGTGTCTCATTACATTGGGAGAAGGAAAACAGAGTGGCTACCTGAGCGGGCTTTGTGGTCACAGTTCTTGGGTTTGAATTCTTTCCTCACCACTTACAAGCTGTGTGACTTGAGAGAGTTGTTTAACCTCTCTGTGCCTCAATTCCCTTATCTCTAAAAGGGAGAAATAACAGTGGTTATAAAGTTTAAATGAAATAATTCATTGGGCATGCCTGGCACAGCGTAAGTGTCTAATAAATGTTAGTGTTAAGCAAGTTTCGTAACTTGTGTGCCTCTTTCCTCCCCTGTAAAGTGGGAGTGACAGTGGTTCCTGCCTCAGAGGGCTAAGGATGAGTCAGTGCAGGGAAAGCACTTCGTATGGACCGAGCATGTGGCAGCCACCATGTGAGTGTCCACTGTTGTCCGTACTGCACGTGCTTGGAAGCATGCATATAAACCAGATTCCTGGTGGAGCCCTGGGGCTCCTCGGAGGTCCACGTCCTCACACACAGCCTGGAGGACACACAGGCATGCCTTGTTTGACGGCACTTCGCAGACAGTGGATTTTGTGGGGTTTTGGTGAGGAAGATTGTCCCTGAGCTAACATCTGTGCCCATCTTCCTCTATTTTATGTGGGGTTCTGCCACAGTGGGGCTTGATGAGTGGTGCTGGGTCCGTGCCGGGATCTGCACCTGTAAACCCCAGGCTGCTGAAGCCGAGTGTGTGAACTTAACCACCAGGCCATCAGGCCGGCCCCGACAGTGAGTTTTTTAATAAGACCCTCCACCAGCAAAAAGATTACGACTCGATGAAGGCTCAGATGATAGTTAGCATTTTTTAGCACTAAAGCATTTTTTAATTAAGGTACGTACATTGCTTCCTTAGATATGATGCTCTTGTGCACTGAATAGATTGCACTGTAGTGTAAACATAGCTTTTATATGCACTGGGAAACCCAACAATTCATGTGACTCACTTTATTGTGGTATTTGCTTCTTGGCAGTGGTCTGGAACCGAGCTCACAACATCCCTGGGGTGTGCCTGTATATCAAAATAATCACCTCTGGGTAGATTGGTTTTTTTTACTTTGCTAAATTTTTCCAAATTTTCAACAATGAATATATATTACTTTTATAATCTAAAAAAACAAGCAGCTGTGTTAGAGTGAGACATTTTCTGCTTAGCCCATAGTTAATCAAAATAGTTGAGTGCCCCAAGCTTCCTTGCAGGTAATGGTTTTTCTGTGCTACAGTCCTAGTCTCTGGTCGTTTGCAGGCAGGAGCGTAATATTTCTGCGCAGTGTAGCAACGTGCAGCGTCTTTCTCCAGCTGCATTGGAACAGGGGTTCTAAACTCGAGAATCCTGGGAGGAGCTTTTGAAATCTACTGGTATTGGGCTCCTCGCTTGACTGATTAGATGCACATATTTTGGAGTGAGCCCTGGGCATTGGTATTTTTTAAAAGCTCCAGGGAAATTCTCTTGTGCGGCCAGGTGGGGAACGACAACAGGGAACTAGGCTGGTATTTCAGACTACCAGTTCCTGCCTGGCAGAGAGTTCTGCTGCATGAACAGAGCCCCCCTCCTCTGGTCAGTCTCAGAGTTGGCCCTAGCAGCATTTCCCGCCTCTCCTGAAGGTAAGACTCCCCTGGTGTTTGTTAAAAATACAGATGCCTGGACCCTAACCCGGACGTACTGAATCTGAGCTTTGACGGGGAGAGACCTGCTCCTGGGATTCTTACATCAGGGGAGTGTGCGAACTGCTGGAACCGTGGTTCTGTCTGAGCCTCACGCTGGGGGACCTGGAAAAACGCTGATGCCTAGTCCCCCTCCTGCCTCCATGGTTCTAGTATGATGGAGCTAGGATACTGTCTGGACATCAGGAGTTGTGAAGTCCCTCCAGATTCTAATGTGTGGTTGTGGTTGACAACCGTTGGCAGTGATGGTTCTCAAAGTGGGGTACTGGAACCGGCAGCATCAGCATCACCTGGGGGCGTGTGTTAGCAGTGCATAGATGCAGCCCTCCCTAGAGCTGCAGAATCAGAAATGGGGAGCGGGACCCAGCAGCCTGTGTGTTAGCCGCTCTCTTAGGATTCCTGCACGTGCTCAAGTTTAAGCAGTACTGCTCTAGAGCAGCGTTGTGAAAAGCGGTTTCCTAGACTCACTCCCAGAGGTTGCACGGTGGTCTGGACTGAGCTGGGAACGGATGCCCAGTGGCCCAAAAGCATGCTTGGGTAACACTGCTCTCGGATTTATCCTTATTCCCTTAGACATTTCAAAGTTATAAAGGCCTTGACATCGCTCAAGTACGACCAGTGTCCCAGTGTTCTTGTGGGTAGCCTGTTGCTGCCACTCCTGGGCAACACACATGGCTGTTTTCCAGCCATAGTTACTGGGACATGTTTTCTTTAAAGTCGACAAGTACTGTGGTTGGAAATCTATTTTTCAAAAATACTGACCTAAGTCTGACTTGGAACAGCAGTCACAGAAGCAGAGAAGTGCACACTGCTTCTGTGTGCTTCCTGCCTTGGTGTAACATCCGTGCCTCTCTGTTTTGTAGGTTTTATCATCCACCTGTGCCAGCGTGGTCGTCTCAGCCCCAGACCGGTCACAACCGCGCCTATCAGGGAAGACAGGAGGTCAGTGGCTTGCTAGGGCCAAGGGACCGAGAAGACTTGGAGGTCAGAGGAATGGCCCAAGCGCACAGTCTGCCCATCCACGTGAGGGAGGGCCCATGGGAAGTTGGAAGAAGGACCGAGAATGTGATGAAGAAGGCAGTTTGGGAAGAGCTGAGAATGGCGGGTCCTGCCGAATGGCAGAATGTCAGCCTCGAAAGCTGGAACCAGCCAAGGAAATTAGGAAGGCAGATGTCTGATGGTGATGGGGAGAAATTGTTTCAAGATCTCTACCCATTCGTGCAAGGAGAACATGTGTTGAATTCCCAAAGCAAAGGGAAATCCCAGTCATTGCCTAGAGTTCTTTGCCCTGAGAGCCTGAGTTGCATGGAAATTCCTCTTCCGTTAAATGATAGACATTTACCAAGTGTTCCTAAAATGCCATCTTATCCTCCAAATTGTGCACCACATTTGGAACCCACAAGGAACTCTGAGAAGGGTGGCTCCTCTGTCCCTTTGCTGCGGCCTAAGTTTGGGAGGCCCCTCAAGCCTCCGTCTTATGATTCTCACCAACACTCCCGGGGCGGCGTGGAAAACAGTGACTATCCAGACAGCCAGCAGACAGACCTATGTGTTCCCCACTTGACCAAAACTAACGACCCCAGGCAGGAGCTCTGTGCGCCCGACTCTGGTTTGGAGCCGCCAGTGTATGTGCCTCCACCGTCGTACAGGTCGCCACCCCAGCACATCGCAAACCCCTACGTGGAGGATGCAGCACCCAGGCCTGTGTGTGGTGGTCGCCGTCAACAGGAGCACCTGACCGAGAAGGCTGGTGCCAGTTGTCAGCTTCCTTCGGGCTCCCTTGGGACTGGGAATGAGTATGGTGCAAGCCCACGCTCTCCTCGCGGACTCCATCCACAGCCCCGGCCCACCGCTGCTTTGGATGGCTCTGTTCTGTATATTCCCTTTGATGACCCACGGATCCGACATATTAAACTAGCTCAGCCCCAGGGTTTCTGTGAAGAAACAAAGCTTGATGAGAGGTTGTACAGCTCCCGTCCGGTCACTCCCCCAGAGCCGGCTCGTGGGAACACGCGACATGGTGGTGCCAACTTCAATCCACAGAGCCTGAAACCCCTGCCTGGGGGAGAGAGAGGCCTCCACTTTGCTGATCCCAGCCCCCGGTTGCTATGGGGCCAGCTCCCCAGGGATGGAGAAAATGGTGGCTTTCATGACCCAAGAGACCACTGTACTGCAAGAGGACAGCGGCCGGACGTGCAAGGCGACCAGCACAGATATGCAGAAGGCCAGGTTTCCTTCCAAGACCCTCAGGGCGAGAGCACCTGCGACGCCCGGACCAAGCTCAAAATGTTTGAAACTGGGATTCAGACCAAGAAAAGTTCAAAGAAAAAAATGAGCGAAACAATATTTTGTTTGGTTTCCATCCCAGTTAAATCAGAATCCCATCTGCCAGATATAGATACGAACAACAATGACTTAAAACAGAGTGCTGATAAAAAGAATGGGCTCGATAAGAGCGCAGCTCTGCAGGAACAAAGTCCGCTGAGCACGTCTTCCACAGACCTGGAGCTGCAGGCTCTCACAGGAAGCGTGCCTGGGAGAACAGAGCTTCGAAAACAAGGTCTGGGGGGACCAGAAGACGACAAACAAACAAATGACCTCAGGTTCATTCACCCCACAAAACACAGAGAACTCAAGGATTCTGGCTTGTGGCCAGGGCACCAGTACAGAGATCAGCAGACACAAACCAGCTTCGCCGAAGAATCCAGAAGCCTGCAGCCCCTCCCTGCAGAGAAGCTGGGGGGCCCACCTGATGCAGTGCTGACTCCAAAGTGTGTAGACCCTGCTGTACTCTCCAAACCTCAGGGGCACCTGGCATTAGCTCCCAGTGACCAGAACCAGAGGCCAAATGCTCGGCCCCCAAAAGCTCAGGTGTCCCTCAGCCCATCCAGCAACAGTGCTTTCTCAAGGACATCCTCGTCCCTAAACCAGGCACCCCTGCCCAGAGCGGGCCCGAGTCAGCCCTGCGGGGACCAGCCCAGGGGCGAGGTGGTGAAGGGGGAAACCACCGGCCCGTGCAACAGTCAACAGCTCTTTGGGCAGTTTCTTTTGAAACCGGTTAGCCGTCGTCCCTGGGATCTGATCAGCCAGTTAGAAAGCTTTAACAAGGAGCTTCAGGAGGAGGAGGAGGAGAGTGGCCACAGCAGCAGCGGCAGCAGCAGCGGCAGCAGCAGCGAGCACAGTGATCCAGAATGGCTGCCGGCAGGCCCCGCCGGTGCTGCTCCCGGGAGTTCCGCCTTCCGTGAAGACAGCTGGGAAATGAGAGTTGAGGAACCACCAAGGAGGTCCTCCAGGGAGGACCCCGTGCTGAGGTCGGGAGGGGTTAAGAGTGCGTCTGAGCGCTGGAGTGAGGAAGGGAAGCGCGGCCACCTGTGTGCCCGCCTGCCATCCCTGGGGCCCCTGCAGGTGGGCGTCAGCAGAGGGGAGGCGTTGCTGTCAGCAGATGGAAGCTTGATGACAGAGAAGGGAAACCAGGAGCTCAAGAACAGAATCGACGAGCTAGCACTCAGCCCAGGTCCTGCGAAACGAACATCTTCCAGATTAAGTGACACAAAACCAGCGTCCCCATGTGATCCAGCTGAACTGAGGGAGCCCCAGGAAAGTCAGAAACTCTCCAGTGTTTTAAATCCTGTGGGGCTGAGCAAAGCTGTCCCTCCGGAGGCTGAGAGTCGGGAGGAGAGGGGAGCAGTGGTCTCGCTGTCCCTCGCTAGCAAACCCCGCGGACTCTCGGCACCAGACCTGAGGTCTGTGGGGCTGACCCTGGCGCAAGGGCAGAGTGCTGATGAGTTAGAGGGGGCTTTAGGGGAAGCAAGTGCAATAGAAATCCCCCCCAATGAATCCCTTCAAGCGAGGGCCGCAAGGATCCTAGGCATCGAAGTGGCCGTGGAGTCCCTGCTGCCCAGCGCCAGGGGAACGGGACAGAGCCTGCCTCCCAAGCCTGACGAAGGTGCCCACAGGCCAGCATCCCCTGGGGAGGAGTCCGTGTCCAGTCCAGCACGGGCGGATGGCCCCACGGTATCCACTGATGCCTTTTATGGCAGGAGAAAGTGCGGCTGGACCAAAAGCCCTCTCTTTGTAGGGGAAAGGGACAGTGCCCGGCGGGCCTCCCGGGCTCCTGAGCACTCAGGTGTAGATGGGGCCCTCCCCAGCAATGCCCCCGGCCCAGAGCCTCGGCCCAGCCCCCAGGAGTTCACGTCCTTCACTCACGAGGACGTGGCCACAAAGCCACCCTTCAGGTCCACCTTGTTCCATGTTATAGAAAGGACCCCAAGTGTGGCCGGCTCAGAAAAGAGGCTCCGCAGCACGTCCAAAGTGATTGAGAGTTTACAGGAGAAACTGGCCTCCCCGCCCAGGAGAGCGGACACCGACCGCTTGATGAGGATGAAGGAGGTGAGTTCCGTGTCTCGGATGAGGCTCCTGAGCTCCCGGAGCGGTGACTCGGTGGAGGATGCCGAGGAGCTGAAGGCCGAGAGGGGCCTTGGGGCACAGCCAGGAGGCCTGGTGACCCTGAACGCTGGGGACATGGCGCGGAAGGCGGAGCCCTCGCTGTCTGTCTCCAAGGGCGTCCCCTCACTGGAAGAAAACGGGTGTCCAGCAGCACAGAGGGAGCAGGACGTGGACCAGGACTTCTGGTGCCCAGGTGAGGAGGCAGGCGCGGGCAGGCGCTTGGTATTAATTTGGCGTCCTTAGAGCACAGAAAATACCAGCTTGGTGAAAAATGAAAATCTGTGTATTCAGAAGATACACTTGACCCTGTGAATTATTGTACCAAAAGATTCTTTGTTTTGCAAAGAGTTATCTGGAAACTTTCCTTGAAAATTAAGATCTTACGGTGCGTTTTAAATGATTATATCTATAGAAATGGTCTATGCAAACAGCTATATGACGTTATCTTGGTGAACGACTTTGGGCCTTCACCGTGAAGAGGGAACTGAGTAAAGTCTCCCAGCCCGGCAGTCCCTCCATAAGCCTGTGGGAGACTGGGGCGTTTGTACTCTGCTCTCTCCTCCTAAAACAGTAGGACTTCATCCAAATAACCCTCATCGCTCTTTGCCAGCCTAATAAGAAAAGACGTACCGTATTGATTCGATAAACTACCATCCTATGATGCCGTGTCTTAATATTTTCACATTCCAAAATCTTTTGCCCCCATTTTTATGTTTTTAGTACCACACCATTTAATAACTTTAAAAGGTTTCGTAGGCAGCATTAACACTTTCTGAACAGCCCACCCTAACAAGTTCACCCACCAAGCTCTGTTTCTTAAAGTCCCTTGAATTCGGATTGCTCCATTCCAGGTGACACGTTTTGGCCACAGCGTTCTGCAGGCCTCCGGGTCTCTCCATCCTCTCCCCTGAGCATGTGTTCAGAGCATTCTCCGGTTCCCGGTGACAGGGATGGTGGCCTCCCCAAGCACAGTCCCACCGTCATTGCCCTGACACAGACGGGCCGAGAGAGTGCTCAGCATCTCTTCTGTCAGGTGTTTTCTTCAGGGCCTGTCCTGGAATTGGTTAGAAGAAGGGCTGACGAAGATGTCACTGGTCCCCATCATAACCTGCAGACTGGAGGGGCCTTACATTGTTAATCCAGACCTGCGCACAGACAGGAGGAGCCGGGCCCTGCACTGAGTGCTACAGCTCGGCCCAGGCCGGCGTCCCGAGTCAGGCCCTTCCATCTCACGGGGCGCCCCAACAGGGTGGTCCCCCCGCCCCCCACTTCTCTGTGTTCTATTTTGAGATCTAAGGATTTAAAAGTAGATGGAAAAGACCACTTGTTTCAACTAGAAAAATCTAGAAATTTTTGTTAAAAAAATCCACTTGGCACTCTTTAAATTTTCCCACAAAGCAGTGTGATTCTTAGGAGTGTTGGCGGGTGTTGCCCTGTTCCTTATGCAGAATACGGTACTGAAATGATCCATACCGCCCTCTCTGGTCGTCTGGTTGGCAGGCGTGGTCTTCGCTGAGGAAAAGCGGACTGACAACACCGAGCTTTGCCTTTCCCGCGGTGCTGGGAGATGCGCTGCGGCCCGTCTCTGAGCTGCGGCTTTGTCAGGCGTCACCATGATTGCTCCTCCTTCCCCTGCTCCCCAGAAGATACCGCTCACTGTCGAGTGCTAGTTAGAGTGTGTTCCTTATCTATAAAATTAGGATGATTTTATCAGTCCTGCCTCTTCCTGAGAATTGTAAGGGTTTTAAAATAAGACAAATATTGATGTAATAAAACACCAGTTTGTAAAGATTTCTTAGTCTCAGCCGTGGCCACATACTTCAGGGGGTATTTTATAACATAAGATTTCTAGGTCAATAAAGCACTCCCTCAGTTTTCAGCTTGATCGTTTGCCGTGCGAGTGGGGTTGGTTAGGCATCTGAAAACACCTAGATAATGCCGGTTTTAATTTTAGCCAGCCATTAAAGATAGCTCCCTATGACTTTATTATGTTTTTAACCATCGTTACTGACAAGTAGAAATTTTAGTTATTTTTTTCTCCTCTCCGTCTGATGCATTTATTAATACACAATACAGTGACCCAAACTCTGAAGGCAGAGTTGCTCACTGTGACAGACAGCTGCCTCCGGCATTCGTAAGTACTTGGCTGGAGGACAGCAGGGACGGCTTCTCCACACTCTGCGGCTCAGGTCAGCCCCCGTTGGCCTGCTGTGTGACGGTCACCAGACCTCAGTAGCAAAGCCAGTCCTGTTGAGAAGCCGTATGATTGAGGTAGTAAGACTTTTGACGTGTGTTCGCTTTTCCTCCACTCATTGCTTCACAAATTAGAACAAAGGCTTGTGCTGTGTCACTGATGTGCATTTGGATTTGTTTTCCTTTCAGTGTATTTGATCATTTTGATCACAAGAAGCATCAACCCCCCCAAGACCCCTGACTCTGTCACCCCCGTGTGCCAGAACCACTTCATTGCTCACTTCATTGCACAAATTCACAGCCCACTTAAATTCAGATTTTGTTCTGGAATTTTAAAACAAGATTATACCATGTCGACCTGTAACATTGCCCCCCCGCCACAACATGCACACACACCCCTCCAGAACTTCCTTATCTGTCTTGTATTGTAGTACCCATCATATCATAAAGTGTCTTCAGATTAAAGATGCTAATTTCAGCTAACATCTCTTCAGTGGTCTTTTGGGGCTCTGACTCAGAAATCAGCAGCTCAAAACTAATTCAGGTGACAGAACCCCATCTCCGATGGATGGATTACAATTCAGAATTGCAATTCCCAGCACTGATAGCATTCAGAACCTGCTGGGTCCATCACCCTCCGTTGCATGCTCTCTTAATCCAAGTACAAGAGGAGAATGAGGAGAGATTGTCTGCTCCAGACTCACCCTGGGGGAAATCTGGGAAGGTTGGTGATGCGAAATAATGCCAGTAGAAGGCTAGACGTTCACGCGTCTTCAAGGCCGGTAGCTTTTGAGGGTGTTAATACATGAACCCCCCCAGGGTGGCCCTAATAAGTTGTCTTCCCCTGAAATACTGCCCTGGGAACCAGGATTCCAGATACTCAGGGGAACCTCTCTGTCCTCTAGACCTGTGCTGGCCTACATCGTAGCCCCTTGCCACAGGTGGCTGCTGAGCACTTGAAATGTGGCCTGTCCAAACTGAGATGTGCTCTAAGTGTAAAACACACACCAGAGTTCCAAGACTCAGAACAAAAAAAGCAATCTAAAATTTCTCAATAATTTTTGTATTAATTACCTGCTGAAAAGATAATATTTTGGATATATTTGGTAAAATAAAATACATCAACTTCACCTGTTTCCTTTTATTTGGTTTAACATGGCTACTAGAAAAGTTAAAATAGTGTATGTGGCTCACTTTCTATTTTTGTTGGACATAGACCCTCCACGATCTGAAGAAGGGGCCCATTGTTCGACAGAATTCTTTCCCCTGCTCCCTGTCTGTGGACCCTTGGCTGCATCAGTGGGGCTGTGGGGGGCAGGCCCGTTCTGTGGAGCTGTCGCCATGTCCCTGGCCCTGCGGGCAGCTGGTCGGGGCCCAGTGTATGTGCAACGTAAGGCTCGATAGATGGTCCCCTTCTCACAGGCCTCTGCAAAGCCGAGGGTGCCCTTTCCAGAGTGTCATCTGTTAGTGACCACCCGCCGCATTCTCAGTGGAGAAAAGACGTCTTTGCTCACAGGCTCGCTCTCTCAAAATCAGCACACAGTGAGGCTGATGGAGCACAGAAGTGTGGCGCTCTGCTGTGACCGTCCTGTGCTGTCACCCTGCAGTGTTGTTGAGGGTCGCTGTGAAAAGGCAGCTGACTCACGGGGCCTCCACCGGCTCTTAGCCAGGTGGGCACTTGGCAGTGACTCCTGTTTGAGGAGGAGCTCCTTCTCCAGAGTGCAGACTCTCCTGTCTGGTTTGTGACGCCTCGCGCACAGTGCTCTAAACCCTTAGTTGTCACAGTTGTAGCATCGTACGGTAAATCTGCCCCAGCTGAGGGGGGAAGGTGTGAGGATGACTTGGGAAAACATTTTGCTGCTAGGGAAATCGAAATCCATGTGGCATTCATAGTGCACAGCTGTCCAGATGGATTTGAGAAGATATTGTTCTATAACTATCAAATTGTACCATCCTTCCAGATTTCGTATGTGTTTTCTCTTAAAAGGTTAGGAAACCTTTGAGCTGCTGTGGCAGGAAATTCTGACCATAGGAGGCACAGGTGTGAGCTTCCGGTCTGCCTGGATCCCAGAGATCTGTGCAGCCCGAGGCAGTCAGATTTAGCATCACCAAACTGCAGCCCTAAAGGCAGTTTAGGACTGTTCCTTTGTACGGTGTCCTGTTTCGGAAGCCCAGATCTTCTGGGCCCAGTTTGGGATTTTCCAGCTTGGGCTATAGAATGGAGCAGTGTGCTGGCCCAGACTCGTACCCACTTGTGTGTGGAGAAGATTTGTTCTAACAGGCGTGTGTCCCGCCCTGGGCCCGCCTGCTGGCTCATGGCCGTCAGAGACAGAAGGCCTCTCATTGCCAGCCAGGCAGTCAGGGTCCCAGGGTCCTCCAGTCTGCTGGGGACAGCACTGGATTACAAAGATGTGCACCCTAAACCAAGTTTTCGTTAGAGGTATAATTTAGCAAAAAAGAAATAGTCAGCATCAGCCAGGCACGCCACTGCTGGTTTACAAGTGTTGGGTCTAAAGTTAAGTATGTTCTTTTAAAACAGACTTTTGATGATAGCTTTTCACTCCTTAGTGAAAACAAGATTGTTGAAATGTCTAAAAATTAACTTTTATCCACTGGTGGATTTGGCTCCCTGAACATATTTATTTATGCTCTGAGTGTTAAACAGAAAACAGAGCTATTGAATGTGTCACTGATTTTCTTGTTCTCTTTTTCACAGATTCGTATGACCCTAGCAGAGTGGAGCGGGTGTGATTAGATGCCAGTGACGGGTGGGACGCCCGTAGTTTGCTGACTGAGTGATCTCTGGTGAAGCCGTCGGCCCAGCCTGCCTGTGTATAAGCTGTACGCTGCTGACTTTTAGTGCGCCGTTACATCTTTTACCACTGCCGCCAGGAGGCTCGTCATCCCTGCAGACTCGCTTTGTGGAAATAAAGCAGTAGTCTGTTGAAACCATCTGTTTTTGTAGCATGAAGAGTTAATACCTGTATTTAGCAAAGAGTCCCATAGACTCTCTTTCATGATGGATTTAGCCAGGCTGATAAATAGTTTGGTGTTAATCTGGTTAAGTGAAAATTTAAACGTGGATGATAGAGTGAATGATTTTGGAAGGACTGTGAATGTCATAAATTCCCCTTGGCCTCTCCACGGCCTGTGGTCCTGCTCGGGTTAAGGAGTTTGGGGCGTAGGCCATCGCCTCGTGTTCCCGCACTTGGAGTTGAGGGGGCTGTGAATGAATAGTTGTGATCCATTGCTAATCAGTTTGGCCTTCTGTTGCTGGGAGTAACTTTACTTATAAGTAACTTGCCGTCGGAGAATAAAAGCAATATCTTTTAAAGTTCCTAAAAGATTAAAACTTGTACTATAATGTACTGAGAGTATTATTTATCTGGCAATGAAATACTTGGATAGTTTGCAAACATGCTATTGTCTGCTTTGCACTCAGTATTATCTATTTTTATTTTCTGTATGGATGTTTAGAGAGTGTTTATATGAAAAATAATTGCTGGTTTAAAATAGACCATTTTAACAAAGTAACTATATTTCTTTTTACAAAAATGCTATTTTTCTATGATGTAAACAATTGTTAGGTGGCAGATTTTTAAGGAAGTATTTTATTTAAGAGTCTGTATCCCTTTGTGTGAGAGGAACCCAGAGCAGGTTCCCATTTGCTTTAAAGCCTGTGGCCCTCACCCAGTCACAACTCTGCTACTTTTGTTTTATCTTAGAAAGAGATGTCAATATAGACATTTTACAGGGTTAATAAAATTAACTTTTCACAAAGATTTTTTACAAATGTAGCTGTAAGGTTGTAATTGAAAATAACCATCTTAAAACCAGCCAACACCCTTACAAGAATTTTTGCTGCCATATCCACTAGAATTACCAAAAAACAGTTTCATCTTTATGTGTCTGTGGGGATCTGCCCTGAGACCAGACTTCCCTCCTCCCCCCCGCCCCTTTAAAGAAATATGTATTTTTATCTAGAATGATCCTTAATTTGTCTCTGCATATTTTTAAAAGTGCTAGAGATACTACATATATGCCATTACAGAAGCAGTATGAGGCCTGCGTATTCTACTGTGTTTACTGTTGCATTAACCTGCACAAAGTGTGTGCATTTTTTATGCATTTGTCCCTTCTTTCAGAGTGAGGCATTCTTACTAGCTAACATGTCCTGAATGGTTTCTTGTCTCTTTTTTCCCTCTCTCCCTTTTTATTCTTTCTTTTTTACCTCTCTCTCTCTCTCTGTTTTTTGGGTTTTTTTGGAGGGGGGACCCACCTTATCTATTTTTAGACATTGCAAATTCCTAAAATGTGAACTATTGGGTGGTCTGCAGTTTGGCCAGAAAATGACTCTGACTGGGCTTTCATGGCCTGTTTTTATCTGTACCATATAATTTTATTTCATAAGAACTTCATGTATTTGGACTGTAATAAACAAACAGACCCTAAGGAATTCTGAAGTCTTTTCAGATACGCTGCTCTGCCTTCTTGGTCCTGCCTCTTGACTGAGGCGCTGCTCTCCAGATCTTGGCTCTTGTGAAAATTTAGAGCAGCTCTCGTTTTCACAGCACCGCGAGATGGGCCAGGGCTCTGCTCGAGATGGCTGAGAATGTTTCTCCCGGGGGAAGTCCAGTGGGGAAGAGGTGAATCGCTCTGTTAGGGCTGGTGAGTCACTGGGTCACCTGGTAGAACTGAGCGACTGTGCTCCCCTCTTGAAATGCATGTGAAAGGAGGTCACGTGTATGTACATAGACGCCTAGACAACCTAGAGACACATACATACATATGTATACGCATGTAGGAACTCTGTTCTGGCTGCCTCAAATTTTGTTGATTCCATCTAAAGACTTCTTTTAATCAAAAGAGTTAAATTTTAGCTTATTTCTCAAGAGAAAGAGAAGGACCCTAGAGACAGAAAATTACTGCACCTTATGTATATCAGAAACCAAAATATGATGCTCTTCTGTTTTGTTTTATTCTAAATCGTTGTATCATATCTTTCTGAAACCATTCTGAATTTAGTTGAAATTATCAATAGTTATACTTTTATCCTTAATTTCTGGATTCCAGCCTGTGTATAAATCTTCTGGGGATGGGGAAAGAGAAAGGTAACTGAAAATTTGACTTTTAAATTTGTATATTCTGAGATAAATAATACAGTCTTTAATCAAAAATAGCTTTCCCCAGAGGTTTTGAACTTACTGCTGATTATCCTTTTATTAATTCTATTTCTCATAAATACACAACTCTGTTATTACTTGTGGCTGGAAAAAAGCTTTTCATATTTTGTGTTTGTCATTGTTTTTCTGATACATATGACTTACTGTTGGTGTTTAATAATTTGGGGCTTATAAAATTAAAAGTTCTAATTTTGATTATTTGGACTAAAAAATTACTTGAGGAATTACATATGAAATGTATTTGTATTTCTTAATTTGCAAGAGAAGGGGAAAAATTATGGTAATATAGCTCTAATTATCTTTCTTTGAAGAAAATTTCTGAATGCTTGAAGACCAAATATCTCTGTGATCATTTTCAATCTTCTGTTTCTGCAAACCCCAGAAAATTCCTCTGTAAAGACACAGTAGCCCCGGATTTCACCTTCAGAACTCTTTTCCGTGTTGTTCATAACTATTTGGATTTCTTTTTTAAAAGTTCCTTAAAAAATGTATTTACTCTCTGAGGTCCTGATTTTCTTACTAAAATTGTAGGTTAAGGATGTGGTTCATCTGAAAATTCTAAGAACTTTTTCTATCCCATTTGACTATTGGTGAAAGGTTGTTGCTAATGGGAGTTCAACTGTTTAAACTCAAATAACTCTGAAACTAGACCCTTCCCTCTTTTTGCAACAGCAAAACGACTTACTCTGATAGCGGCTGGGTTAGGGCTTCTGAGAAAAAATGCTGATCCACTGTTGACACAGCTCCTCCCCAGCTCTGGGCAGAAAGGACTGACCAAAGATAAGACTAACCCACCATTTCATCTGTGGCCCCCAAAGATTATCTTTGTGTGTTTGGCTCTGTTTTTGTTTGTTTAAAATGATTAAATAATACACTGTTGTCAGGTTAGCATCTCTTGGACAGTGACCAGCGCAGCAGAGTTCTCCCTATGTAAATATCTGAGCTTAGAAACACTTCCAATTTTCTGAGTTCTCGCAAGCCATTACTTGGATGTTTGGATCATTGTTCTGCCAGATCCATCTGTGCAGGGAGGTGAAGCTTAAGGGATGGAGTGAGGGTCGAGAGTGTTTCTAAGCTGAAGCTATTGCAGGCCTGGGGGAGTTTTGCATTTCTTTCGTTTTGTTTTTAACTGCAGATTCTGTACATCTGTTGGTGGGAGGAGAGTTGCTACTCAGGACAGGATTTAAGAGACACTTTCCAAGTGACCTTTATGAGTCTGCATGGTGGGAGGTCTTTTGCAAGTGGTGGGTCCACTTGGACCCACCAAGCTAAGAAGAGAGAGATTATAAAATAACTATAGAAAGAATGGTCCCCAGCCTGCCTGTTTTGTTAAGAAAAAAGGAGTGGCTAAGACCGTAATTCAGATGGAGGCCCCTAGAAAAGGTCGATATAGTCTCGCAAACTGCCCGTGGAAACAGCCCTTGGGGTTCTCTGCGTGTGGGGAGGCGGGCGGAGTCTCTGCAGGTTCCCTGGTGTGGCTTTGAGAGCCCCTGTCACGGTTGTTTACTGCAGAGGACAGGGAGGGCCTTGTTCCATGGCCTCTGCTCACTGACTGAAACTTGACTGCAAAAGCAGGTCCAGATAGTCGAGCCATTGGTTCCATTGGTCCCATTGGCCTGATGGGGTGAGGAGCAGGCGCTCCCTGTGAGATTTTCCCTTCCCATGTGGAAGCCGGGCCTGCGGGGCTCACAGCTCAGCCACAGAGCAGACTTCCCTCCCGCAGCTCCCTTCGCCCAGCCTTGCAGCAGGCCCAGATGTGTGACGCTCGCTGTCAGGGAGCATGGGGGAAGACAGGCAAGTTCACGTTGAGAAGCATATGGCAGAAATTAGAAATGAAAACCGTATGTCCTGGCCAGGGAGAACGGCAGTAACCTACAGATTATTAAAACCAGCGAAGCACTCTCCACCTGGGTCAGCTGAAATTCGAGCCCTCACACTCGGGCCGGTCAGGAAAGCTGAGCAGAAGCGTCTCACACACACACACACACACACACACACACACACACACACACACACACACACACACACACACACACACACACACACACACAACTTCTAAAATTTGGTGAAGATAAGGCCCTGTAACCCCTACAGAAACTTTGTATCTGCTCGTCATTTCTTTGGGCACCATTAATACATAAGGCAGGTAGAGAGGTCCCAGGAAAAGACACAACTACTAATGGCCGATTGCCAGCTTCAGGTCACGGCTCCCAGATGGGGCAGTACAGAGAGCTTAGGGATGAGGGAAGAACAGTAATACCAGCAAAGCACACATGAATGTCCTCAAGGAGCACTCGTGTTTCTCTGCTCAATGTAAAGACTGCTATTTCAGGATGGTTGGCCTGCTCAGTAACACATGTTCCAAATAAAGATTTTGCATGAAGGTGCCTGTGTCCGTTGTCTTTGGCTGCTGGTGCAAGAGCTGCCCTGTAAGCTTTAAAGGCCCGTCCCACAGGCTGCAGGCTGCGCACGGCGCAGCTCAGATGGTATTGGTAATTCAGGGACAGGCGGCCCCAGGCATGCCAGCACCCTTGGTCTCCACCGAGGGTTTCCTGGGCGGTAAAGCTCGTCTTTGCCCCTCCTGCAAAGGCTTGCTGACATGGTGAAAAGAGGCCGAGAGGGTCAGTTTGGGGACCAGGTTTGAGTTTTTGGCTCCATCAGTAACCGTGTGGCCTTGCACACGTCCCTTCTCTGGCTTCTGTTTCCCCATCTGCCTTTCTCACTCCTTGAAGGTAAGAGTCACGTATCTGAAAACGCCCCCGGCACGCCTGGGTGTTCAATGTGTGGAAACGAAGGTCGACCCCTACCCTACGGGGAACAGAAAGTGCTTGTCTGGCAGCCTGTAGGTTTGAAGTCCAGGCCTTGGCCTCTTAGGTCTTTACTTCCTGGCTCTGGAAGCAGGTGCAAATTTATTGCTCCATCATGCTCTCCACTTGTTGCTAGGAGCCCAACAAACTTAGAAGCTTTGTTGTTTCTGAGTTTTAAAAAATTTGGTCCTTTTTTCCAACTTAAGCCCCTTCCCTCTCCCCATTAGCTTTCGTGGACTCTTGTCCTCGAGCCGGCCTTGGCTCCAGGCGTGGGTCTCAAAGCTCCAGTGTTCCAGGGCCCCCTCGGTAGTCTGAAATCTCAGATCATGTTAAGAGGCGGGTTTTAAAGTAAGAGCTGTTCCTAATTGGTTAATAATTGAATCCACATTTTAAAATATAGCTGAAAAAGAAGTCCCTTGACCAAATTCTGTAAGATGACATACACAACCCAGGAATCGGGGGACCCACTCCTGGCCTGGCCTGCGTTAACCAGCTGTGACCGAGGCCACCTCCCTTACCCTCTGGAACACTGTGTAAGTGGAGAAGAGAGGTTGAACTAAATTAGCTGGTTTCTTCCAAATTTAAGGTTATATAACTGGTTTTTGGCAAAATTGGAGGTCCATAGGGTCTGTTGCCCTGCCAGAAGGGCCCGAGAGTAAAATAATTTGAAAACCGTGGCTGTACATGGTCGAGGGCCGGGTCATCGCCGGGGCAGGGAGTCCTGCCATCATTCCTTTCACCAGGGTGGTCCGCTTCCCCATTCCAATAACTTATCCTGCGTCTCTTCCCCTCACCGTAGCTATGGACCAGCCAAGACACTGACAATATTGAGTTCTCCCACCATACTTTCCTTGCGTTAGAGCAGGGCACTGAGGTGTTTACGGGCCTGGCAGTCAGCCCAAGGCATTAATTTACAGTGACTGTATAGATAGCTTTTCCCACCATTTGGCGGCTCTGGGTCCCTTTAAATGCACGTCAATTCAGCGGTGGTTGTGTCTTACCAGCTGCGCTGGCCTGTCTGCTTCTGCCCCAGACATAAATCTTTCCTCAGGTGGTCAGCTTGTATTTCACTGGCTGGAGTTGCTGTCGGTCACCCCATTGCTCAGCATTTTGGGGACAACGGCTCCATGGAAAACTGAGCGCCAGCCCTCCTGGGCCCAGTCGGCCTCTGGTTTGGATTCAGCTGCAGAGCCGAGCTCTTCTTTGAGCTCCAGGAGTTTCCTGCTGGCCCCCGCCAAGGCTCCACTTGCTGGTTTTTCTCTTGGCTGCCTCCCGCTGTCCTGTGCGTCCTGCTGCTTTAACGGGGGTGTTGTTACCTAGCCTAACCCTACTGGTATATGTCTCATGTTAGGGTAGCAGGGGCAGCTGGTGTAGAAATAAACCCAAATGTGCATTTACCTAGAGTTTCTTTTGAGTATTTAAAACAAAATGCTCAACATGGGAATGAGGGGACAACACAGAAACCAACATTGTTGGCCCCTACCATGTGCATATACCATGTTATATGCATGAATGAATTAATGCACGCCATCTTACGAAAGACAAACGGGAACAGAGAAAATAAATAATTGCTTGCAGCATGCAGCTAACAGCAGAGCATGGATTCAAACCTATTTCTATACCCCAAAGTCCATGCTGCTCATCTTGGCTTGCTGTAGCACAGGAGAGTGCAAGAATGATCCTCCAGTTACTCAGGAAATTCAAAGGCAACAGCTAAATGCAGTTGTTAGAATCAGATTCAGCTGCTTATGTCACAAAGTTGGAAACAAGAGTGGCTTAAATGAGATGGAAGCTTATTTCTCTCACACTTCAAAGGAGCCCAGAGGCAGGCAGTCCAGGGCTGGCATGTCAGCTCCATGGCAACTGGGGAGCCAGGCTCCTTGTATCTTTCTGTTCCAGCATCCTCACATCATGGCTCCCATCCTCAAGGTAACCTCATGGTCCAAGATGGCCACCATCTTAGACACTTTCCAGGTAGCTGACAGGAAGAATAATTCTCCTCCCAGATGAGTTAGCTTTCTTTAAAGAGACTTACAGGAGGTCCTACACTCTTCTGCTTATGTTCCATTTCCTGGAATGTAGTCACATAGTCAAACTAGCTGCAAGGGAGTCTGAGAATGTAGTCTTTTTAACTGGGCACCACTGTGGCTCTGATTAAAATCAAAGATCTGTTACTAATAAAGAGAGTGACATAGTTATTGACTGATAACAGAAGCCTCTGCCACACTTAGGCTACTTACGGGCATTTGCCCCACCAAAGACTAGACATGGTGCCCCAAATGAGGAGTTTTTAATGGTGCCTTCACTTCAACGAGGGAGCAAACCACAAGCCCAGAAGGGCCAGCTGGAAGCAGCTACGTTCGCAGTCCAATCTTAGGGTCTGTCAAATGCAAACTCTCACTTTCCTGGGAGATGCACCTTCAGGTGAAAGTGATGATTTTGCCACATTGGTGCCCTTGGTTCACATGTCGGGGAAATGTGAGAAGAGGTGACTGGCAAGCACAGGAGGCTGGATGCTGAGTTTCTGGGGTCTGGGAACAAGACAGTTTGCACATCCTTTTCTGCTCTCTGTGGATGCTCATCACACCTCCTGCAGAGGTGGAGCCTGTGAGCTCTAGGCTGTCTACATCGAGGATCCCAAAGGTCTTCAAGAGAAAGCCCCAGAGTGGATGGGGGAGGGCTGAGTGGTGGGTGAGACTAGAGGACAGGGAGGGGGTCAGTGGCCACGGAGGTGGGTGGAGCAGCACAGCCTCCTGCATCCTCGCTGGAAAGTTCCCAAAAAGGGCTTATGCCAGCGCCCTCCTGCCGAGAGGACCCTTTCAGCCTTGGAAGACCTGCAGTTTATCACAAAGGAGCCAGAATAGAGCTCAGAGCAGTTCAGATGGCAGGTGTTACCACTGAATCTGCCTTTCTTATTAATGGTCTCAGCCGGTCTCAGTTGCAGGGGAAGAGCTCTGAAGCGTCTTTCCTGGTTATTGAGATTTTCATTTATGAATGTTCAGTGATCCCCCTTATCTGCAGGGGATTCCAAGACCCCCAGTGGATGCCTGAAACCACGGAGAGTACCGACCCCTATATATACCATGTTTTTCCTATACATACATCCCTATGATAAAGTTTAGTGTATAAATTAGGCACAGTAAGGGATTAACAATAGCTAAGAACAAAATAGAACAATTATAACAATATACTGTAATAAGAGTTAAGTGAATGTGGTCTCTCTCTCTCAAAATATCTTATTGTACTGTCCTCACCCTCCTTGTGACGCTGTGAGCTGACATGATGTCTACGTGATGGGATGAACTGGGGGGAATGATGTAGGCATTGTGATATAGAGTTAAGCTACTACTGACCTTCTGGCGCTGGGTCTGGAGGAGGAGCATCTGCTTCCGGACATGAATTGGCCGCAGGTAACTGAAACCTCAGAAAGCGAACCCTCAAATAAGGGGGGACAACTGTATCTCTGTTGAAGAAGATGCACCCCAGGAACATTTTTAATTTTTATGTCAGACTTTATGCCTAAAGGCAAAAATGAAACAAGAACCACAAGAAAACATTTAAAGATGTCAGGGAAAAAGTTGTGGTGGGTGGTGATGTTCACGCAATGTAAGTTAGCATGGCACCGGATATTCTGAAGGGTGCCCCGGTGGGTCTGTGTAAGAGGGAACAGAAGAGTTCAGTTCTGATCAGGTGGGCGTGCTGTGCCTGGCAAGTGCCCAGAGGCTGGGGGAAAGTGGGGAGAGATGACTAACGTATTTCGACAAATCTAGAAGACGCCATTGTTTGTTTCATCCTGAAAAAGGAAGAAAATGCTGTCTATAAATTACCACTTGCCTTGGATTGTAAGTGCATCCCAATGTCAAAGATTTTAAAATGTGAAGAAGACAGGTGCTCGTATAGCTGGTGCAATACAGTGTCTAACCTTCACTCCCTGCTCTCCCAGGGTCCACAAGCACACCTCTCGCCTGCTGGGCCCTGCGGGGCTGGTTCTCCAGTGATGCCGGAGGAGCCAGGATCCCGGCCATCACGACAAGGGGCTGTGGCTTTCACACTTGCACGTGTATCCCAATGCCTGGAACTTGTTAAAAGAGAAAAAGAGGCTGATTTAGTGTGTCTGGTGTGGGAACTAGGACGCTTCTTTCTTAACGGGTACACCACGTGATTTCAGGGTGAGCAGTCCCATCGACACTTGAGGAAACACTCCTGGCGTCTTCAGAAGCCGTTCAGTAGACCAAACAGCAGGTCTTCTCTGGGTCCTCCCTGGCTTGGGGTGCCTGCACGTGCTGGTGCCTCTCACTGGATGGCCCTTGTCTTCTCTTCCTTTGACAACGTCCATTCATCTGTCAGGTCGGTTTAATCCTCGGGTTCCACAGCCACTTCCCTGACCTGGCCAGGTGAGGCTGGTGCTATGTCTGAATGTGATCCCCCCAAGTTCATACTTTAGTAGAAACCTAATGCCCATTGTGATGGTGTTAGGAGGTGGGGCCCTTGGGAGGTGATTAGGTCACGAGGGTGGAGCCCATTTGAATGAGATTAGTGTCCTTACAGAGGACACCCCAGAGAGCGCCCTCACCCT